TGGGCGGTCCGGCGTGGCAGCTCAGGTGGCCCAGTTCGCTGCCCGTACGTCCGACACACAAGTCAGCCTGGAGCGACTTGCGGCCGCACGGACCACACGGAGCCTCGCTGCTTCTTTCGCATTGACAACCTGTATCGTGCGGAGCATGGTGAGTAGCTAAAGAATCCAGATTGGTTAGTCTTGCTCAAGAAGGACATCGATGTGTTTGCCTGTGATTGGGACGTGATCCATGCTGGCATGTATGCAATGTATGTTGCTTCTGCTAGTGTCGAGGGTGACTCTTACTCGTATGTGCCTAGAGCTTCTAGTGTAGAGGCTGCTAGTCTAGGTGCTTGCGACTCAGCTAGCACAGGTGTAGCGCCTGAGGAGGCCTTGCACACTTTCACTCTAGACTTAGGCGCGTCTCGCTGCTTGTTCCGCGACTTCACCACAGTCACACCACTCACAGCCCCTGTCACTGTCACTCTGGCCGACCCCTCCGGTGGCCCAGTAGTTGCACGTGGCTCCACTGTTCTCCCGTGTCCGGCAGCCCCCTCCGGCTCCCTCATAGGTCTCCACCTCCCTCGTTCGCTAAGAATTTGGTGGCTACCGCTCTCCTCCAGGACCAGTTGGTCACTACCACCACACCTGGGGGAGAGCTCGTGGCGATCTGTACGGACTCACACACTGGTGAGCACCTCGCCGCGTTCACTCGGAGGCCTGGGTGTGGCCTGTACACACTGACCACTGAGTCTGCACAGGTGGCTGAGACAAGTCAGGTAGCTGCGTCGGGTCAGTTCGCTGCGGCTTGTGCGTCGAGGGGCGGCAGTGCGCCGCTCCTCACTCCTCCGAGTTTCCTCCGACCACTGCTCCTCTGCAGACCCTCTACATGGACGTGTGGGGCCCCGCCCACGTCACTGGACAGGGCGGCAAGTGCTACTTTCTGCTGGTTGTTGACGACTACATGCGCTACACCACGGTCTTCCCCTTGCAGAGCAAGGCAGATGTCCACAATGTTTTGATCCGCTGGATCCGCGCTGTCCGTCTCCAGCTTAGCGCTCGGTTCCGGCAGGACCTCCCGGTCCTGCGGCTGCACTCTGACCGAGGTGGTGAGTTTTCCTCCCGCCTCCTCAAGGACTTCTTTGGTACTGAGGGCATCACCCAGTCGTTCACGCTTCCGGCCTCTCCACAGCAGATTGGGATTGCAGAGCACCGCATTGGCTTGGTCATGAAGGTTGCTCGCACCTCCATTATCCATGCGGCTGCTCCCCATTTTCTGTGGCCGTTTGCGGTCCGATACGCCGCACAGCAGCTCAACCTTTGGCCCCGTGTCTCCCACCCGGAGACCTCCCCTACTCTACGTCGGACGGGAGAGGTTGGTGATGTGTCGGCGTTTCGGGTCTGGGGTTCCCTTGCTCTTGTCCGCGATCCTCCCGCGGGCAAGCTCTCTCCGCGCACTCTTCGCTGCGTCTTCCTTGGATTTCCCACCGACGCACCGCCCTTGCAGTTTTACCACCCGGGTTCTCGCCGTGTGCTGTCCTCCCGCGACGTCACTTTTGACGAGTCTGTTTGCTTCTACCGTCTTCACCCCCACCGCAGTTCCCCCGTACCCCTCCCGCCTCTCTTCCTTGTTCCCGACCCCCCCCCCTGTAGCCCTCCTCCCCCCTCAGGGTCCTGCTCCCTCAGGTTGACCCACCCCCCTTGGTTGCGCCGTTGGAGGTCTCCTCCGACACCTCTGGCCCAGCTTAGGGGGCCCAACTGAGGGGTGTGACCCAGCTGCTGACGACACAGCGGCCACTCGCCGCACACCGCGCTTGGAGACCCCTCCTGGGTTTCCGCCTCGACCGTCTTCACCGCCTCTGCAGCCAGTCGCTGTGGACTCTGGTGCTGCAGGAGGTGGTGACACTGGGGGTGCGGACTCTGCGGGTGCTAGTCCTAGGGGTGCTGAGTATCCTACTGGTGGTCGAGTTGTGGGTACTCCTACTGGAGACTCTGGGAGTGGACGTCAGCGGCAGCCGAGTAGACAGGAGACTCTCTCGCCACATCAGCTTTGAGAGTGGGCTGTCCGGTGGGCAGCCCCGGTGGCGGAGCTGGAGGTGCTGGTGCTGGAGGTACTGGAGCTGGAGGTGCTGGTGCTCGAGGTGCTGGTGCTGGAGGTGCTGGTGCTGGAGGTACTGGAGTTGGAGGTGCTGGAGGTACTGGTGCTGGAGGTACTAGCACTGGAGGTGCTACTTCTGGAGGTACTGGAGTTGGAGGTGCTGGAGGTACTGGTGCAGGAGTTCCTGGTGATAGTAGGCAGGAGACTCCCTCGCCGCAGCAGCTTCGCGAGTGGGCTGTCCGGTGGGGCAGGCCCGGTGGTGGAGCTGGAGGTGCTGGTGCTGGGGGTGTTGTTACTATTGGAGCTGGAGGTCCTAGTGCTGGAGGTGCTGGTGCTGGAAGTTCTCGTACTGGAGCTGGAGGTTCTGGGGGTGCGACTACTCAGTAGCAGCCGTCTGCGCTTCGCCACCTTCTCATTCTCCCACCTGCTGTTACTGAGTTCCCTGTCACTGGTACTACTCCTCCGATACTGTTCCCACCGACTGACCAGTCTCAGACACAGTTACTGCCAGACTCCCCGCTGCCTGCTCCTACTCCTTACACTAAGGTGACAGAGTCCCTGACAGAGAGTCGAGAGCATGCGTCTCGTGCTTCCACACCTGTTCGTACTCGTCGTGTTGCCCATCCTCGTCCTCCACCTGTCCCAGGCACTCACACTATGGCACTTCGTCCTTCCTTTGTTCCACAGCGTGTTGTCCTGCTGTCACCTCCTGCGTCTTCTCTTCTTCACGTTCCTGACTCTGAGTTTGACCTTGTTCGTGCTGTCAGTCCGACTGTCACTCGTCTTCTTGCCACGGCTGTGACTGACCCTACGTTTTCGTCTCCTGCTGCGTCTGCCTTTGTCACTAAGCTCGTTGACTTTGCTGCTCTGTGCCGCCTTGACTACGCTGCGAGTCTTGTTTTTTACTCTGACTGTCCTCCGTCCGTCAGTGGTGAGCTTGCCCTTGACTGTGACGTCCTTGAGGACAGGCAGTTTGAGCTGGAGTGCCTAGCAGCTGCTGCACCTCATCTCGCTGCCATGCTGCTTTGCCCTTAGGGAGACCCGGATGCACTAGACATCCCGACCCCGCGCTCTTACTCAGAGGCAATCACGTGTCCGTACTCCTCTCAGTGGCAGATAGCCATGGATGCAGAGATGGCTTCCTGGAAGTCCACAGGCACCTACGTCGACGCAGTTCCCCCCCTGGGGCGAACATAGTCGATGACATGTGGATTTTCAGAGTCAAGCGGCCGCCGGGTTCTCCGCCTGCCTTCAAGGCGCGTTACGTTTCACGAGGCTTCAGTCAACGTGAGGGGTTGGACTTCTTCCAGACCTTCTCCCCCACCCCGAAGATGACCACTCTTCGGGTGTTACTAATCGTTGCAACACAGCGTGACTACGAGCTGCACTCCCTCGAAATCTGGACAGCCTTCTTGCACAACAGCCTTCACGAGACGATCTGGCTGCGCCGCCCACGTGGCTTCACTGGGTCGTTTCCTGAGGGTACCCAGTGGAGCCTCCGGCGGCCTGTCTACGGTCTGCGTCAGGCGCCCCGTAAGTGGCACGACACACTGAGGACGACACTTGCGGCTCTTGGTTTCGCTCCCTCGACTGCTGACCCGTCGCTGTTTCTGCGCACTGACACTTCTCTGCCGCCGTTCTACATCCTCGTGTACGTCAACGACTTGGTCTTTGCTACTGCTGACACTGAGGCACTGGCACTAGTGAAGGTGGAGCTGCAGAAGAGACACACCTGCACTGACCAAGGTGAACTGCGGAGCTATCTTGGCTTGCATATCACCCGCGACAGAGCACGGCGCACCATCACTCTGACCCAGTTACACATGGTGCAGCAGGTCCTTCAGCGCTTCGGCTTTCGGTTCTCCTCGCCACTGCCCACTCCTCTGCCTACAGGCCATTCACTCTCAGCTCCACCTTCGGACGAGTCCGTAGAGCCGAGTGGTCTGTATCCAGAGCTTTTGGGCTGCCTCATGTACTTGATGACGTGCACACGACCTGACCTCGCATACCCTCTCAGCCTGCTACCTTTGACACATGCCACGATTGAATGGCAGGTGCGAAGCGCGTCGTATTGCTTCATGCTGACGCGGTAATGTTCCGGTGCCGTGTGGAGTGGTTTTCGGCTTGCGGCGAACAATGATTGGCTCATAACCCCTGACATGACGTGTATATTGCCGGGGTGCAGGTACAGCGGGGCGAAAAAAAATCGCGGCCTGTGTTTTCTGCTGTATATATGTCGTTGGTTTTGTACGTTGGCCCCTTAATTATTTTTTTTCCGATACAACACATTTCACTGTATTTTTTTACAGGATACTGACGAATCAGTGCTGGGGGTACACTACAATCCTGGCATCTCATGGTGCTTATGCGTTAAAAAACTGACTGATCAGGGCTATATCTCATATAATACGGTATTGTTTTTTCAGTCATGCACCCCTTCACTAATACTGAAATCAGTGTAATCAGGATATTTTATTCTGATAAAATAGGGCCTGTTTCGGAGACATAGGCGCACGTTCGTATACACTAAGTACAACTCTTTTCACCCACCCCACGACCGTTCTTTTGATTAAAAAAACAAAAAAAACAAAAACAAACACACACACACACACACATCGCGAGATTCGCCCATCCGCTACATTCGCGCCATCGCGTCCGAGCCACACGCCTCCGAAACCTCGCCGCGAGCATATCCCAATATTCGCGCGTCACTGTTACATTGGTGTTCGCTAATAATGTTCGCTCGTGCCTTCTCTCATGTAGTCAATTGCACTCAAATCGGAACATCTCGAGAGAGTGTATACCAAGTTTGCAAGCTAGGATTCTAAATTTGACAATTGGGCTTTAACGCAAGAACCCACACTGAAACGCACCACCACACCACCAGATTACGTTATCGCGAAGCCACAGTTGTTCCGTCCTCATGGAGGCCATTCGCGCCTCGTCCTCCCTCGCCGCCCGTCATCCCCTCTGCTACACGCCGCGCCTCCCTCCGCTTCTGCCGTCGTCGCACCGCGTCGCGCCGAGCAGCCACATCGCCTCCGCGCTGCCGCCCGCCTGCCATCCGCACTCGCGCGTCGCACCAACCCTCTCCGCCGCTGTCCGAGCGCAACGCCCGTCGCGATGCCTCTCGTCTCTGGGCCGCGCCGATCCACGTCCAATCGCTCTGAGAGCCACCCCGGCCAGCTCCAGGCGGAGAGTGACAATAGCGGGGGCCGTGGTGGCGGCGACGGCGGAGGCGGGGTCTGCTGAGAGCGAGGGCGACCGTGCGATGGGCGCGCTGGTGGAGGCGGAGGGCGGCGCCGCGCACGGGAGGGGGCGTAGCGAGAGCAGCGAGGGCAGCGACGGCGGGGAGGGCAGCGATGGCGGTGAGGGCGGTGAGGGCAGCGACGAGGGTGAGGGCGGGCTGTCGCGGAAGGAACTGCGGAAGGGGCGGCAGGAGCGACGATTGCGGCTGATGGTGAGCGGCTTGCGAGGCTGCTTGGCTGGGCGGCGGGGGTTTGAGTGGGTTTTAGCAGATGCGCGGGCAGGTAGCGCTGGAAAACCGTAGCCTCGCCTCTCAGCTGCGTGGCTGCGCGGAGAATGACCCTGATCTCGCCGCCGGAGCAGAGGGCGCCGGGCGGGACAGACCAGTGCGCTCCCTTGAGACTCTGGGTTGGCAGCAGCTGGGTCATTCTCATCCGCCACACACATGCATCGACTCACACACTACCATCCACACGACCCCTCACCCCTTCCCCCTGTCCCCCCTGTCCCCCCTGTCCCCCCTGGCCCCCCTGTCCCCCTTGGCCCCCATGTCCCGCGCGTCCCCCGTGTCCCTCACTCCCCCGTGTCTCCCACTCCCCCGTGTCCCCCACTCCCCCGTGTCCCCCGTGTCCCCCATGTCCGCCAGGAGCCCGAGGCGGTGCAGCAGCGGAGGCGGCAGCAGGAGGAGCGGGTGATGGCGGCCATGGCGCCGCTCAGAAAGCGCCCCGCCAACCCCGGTGGGCGCCGCAAGAAGACGGCGCCGGAGGGAGAGGGGGACGCGGGGAAGGTGGAGGGGGCAGCTGGGGAGACGGGAGGGGAGGAGGGGAAGGCGGAAGGAGTGGGTGGTGGTGCAGGGGATGGGGGAGGTGAAGGGGGGTTGCTGGTGGAGGGGGGGCTGGGAGAGGCGGTAGTGGGTGGTGAAGGCGGTGGAGAGGGGCAGGTGGTGCAGGCGCGGGGGGACATGGCCGAGGCAATAGGCTCTGAGCAGCCGCAGCAGCAGCCGCAGGTGGAGGTGGAGGTGGAGGTGGGCGATGCGGTGGAGGCAATGAGGGTGCGCGGCGTGCAGTGGTGGAAGGTGGGCACTTTCCGAGGGGGCGAGTTCGAGGCGCAGCAGCAGATCACCGCCCTCCTGGCCGCACACTGCCCGGGTGAACCGTGTGAGGTGCGTGTGGCTCCGTGGGGTGGGGCAGGGGGCAGGCGAGTGGAGCAGGGCGAGTGGGCAAGGCGGGATTAATGTGAAGGGATTGGGGAGGGAAGAGGAGGAAGGGGGCGGAGGAGAGTGTGGAAGGGGAGTTGCATTGACTGGGCATTGGTGCATGCGGCCATGCACTCTCTCTTAGTAGCTCATCCTTCTCCCCCTCTTAATTATCCCTTATCGCATCTCACCTTCTGTCATGCCTGCATCTGTCTCTCCCTCTCCACCCTCTCCCCGCTCTCCCACGTCCAACTGGCATGCCTTCAACGGCAATGTGCTCATCGCAGATATTCGTGCCGGCCATCCGCTCCTCGCACCACGCCACCATAATGCGCCGGGCAGCAGCGGCCATGGAGGAGGGCGGCCCCCCTCCACCCCTGGGGGCGGGCATGCAGCGCATAGAGCCATGTGTGCTCTACGTGCGCTGCACCATGTCCTCCGCCCTCTACAAGCAGGTGCGCCCTCTACAAGCAGGTGCGCCCTCTACAAGCAGGTGCGCCCTCTACAAGCAGGTGCGCCCTCTACAAGCAGGTGCGCCCTCTACAAGCAGGTGCTGCACTGCGCCTTGCCCCATCTCGCGCCCTGCCCCATCCCGCGCCCAGCCCCATTCCGCACTGTCATGCCTCTCACCACCCCTCTATGCCTCTCACCACCCCTCTATGCCTCTCACCACTTCCTCCTTCTCTGTCTCTCATAACTCCTCACATGCCTCTGTTACCATACCATGCCTCATGTGCGCCCCTCTGCTCCCTGTGCGCCCCTCTGCTCCCTGTGCGCCCCTCTGCACGCTGCGCAGGTGGTGGCTCTGGAGCGAGTGAGAGGCTTCGTAGGGGAGGTGGTGGGCAAGGGGTGAGTTTGGGAGGGTGGGTTATGAAGGGAGGGATTTAGGTATGTGGTGGGGCATGCAGTCTGTTACGAGTCTCTCTCTTCAGCAAGTAACACATCTGCCCCACCCCGGTCATCTCACTGCTTCTCTGTCCACCGCATGGCACCCCTTGCCCCCCCAGCAAGTACGGCAACATGCTGCCGCGTGCCATCCCGCTGGTGGAGCTGGCGGCCGTGCTGGAGCTCGTGAGGGGCAAGCAGGCCGAGGCCGACCGCCAGGCGCACGAGGCGGAGAGGCTCGCCGCTGCTGCGCAGGCAGGGAAGAAAGGCGCAGGAGGGGCTGGCGCGCAGGAGGAGGCGGGAGGGTCGGATGGTGAGGGCGAGGTGGGAGCCGCAGCAGCAGTAGGTGGTGTGGTAAGCAGAGGGGCGCGCATGCGGTCGGCAGGTATGGCCGGCCAAATGGGAAGCGGTGCTACTCGTGGTGCTGCTGGTGCTGATTATGATGACAGTGCTGATGCCGATGCTGCCGGTGCCACTTTCAATGCAGGCAGTGGCAGCAATGGTGGTGGGGCAGCTGGTGTGAGATCACGGCATGATGACTCGATTGCAAGCAGCAGGGGTCGTGGGCGCGGCAGAGGCACGAGCAGCAGGGGCAGAGGCAGATGGAGCAGAGGGAGTTCCGGGAGGGAGAGCAGTGGGGATGAGGGTTGGGGCAGCAGAGAGAGTGAGGAGGGGTGGATATACAGTGGCAGTGGCAGTGGTGGTGGCCGTGGTGGTGGTAGTGGAAGTAGGGACACTTGGAGCAGGGGGGGGCGTATGGAGGAGAGGCCTGCAGGGGGCGGGCAGGGCAGCGAGTCACGCGGTGGTGGCGGGAGGGACGGGCGGCAGACATGGCGGCGAAGGGTGGATGAGCGTGGGGAAGGGGAAGGGCGGGCGGGAGGGCCATTCGAGGGGCTCAAGGACAGCAGCCGGTGATGTGGCATGGCAGCACACTTGGCTGAGAGACACTTGCGTGGATTGGACGCGTCCCTCGAGTGCCTCATCGGATCGGATGATATGGGCATAGGAACAAGCAGTTGTAGTGTTTCTCGATCCGATGTAATGGTAAAAAGTTTTTTTTACTTGCCTGTTACGCGCTCCTCCGGTCCGGATAGCCCCCCACTCCCTCCCCCTCCCTCCCCCCCCCCCCCCCCCCCCCCCGGTTTTTTTGCCGTAACACGGGGCTTACGGTAATACCGTATGATGCAAATGGGCGACTGGACAACTGTCAAATGTTGTTTATGCGTTTGTTAGACTTCTAGGCTACAGTGAGGTTCACAGTAGAGGGTACATGTTTCTCTACACACTTAACTTGTACTACCCCTTCCCCTATTAGTCGATATCACTTCCGCTTGCTATCTATGAGATGGTATCACACGCTTAAGTTCCTAGGCCTAGATTGTTCCCAAACCGCCCAAGTCTTTAGCTTCCCTCCCCTCCAGCCGTCACGTCCCTCCTAGGCCGCCAGAACGCACGCCCCAGCCAGCTGCTGTGCGCGCACGTGCACAGCAACAACCGCGCACGCACAGCAGCAAGGGCCGCGCACGAGGCTGCCACAGCCGGCCCACAGCCCCCCGTAGGCCCTGTTTAGTGGCGTTTACCAGGCCTCCGTGGGCCCCGTTTAGTCACGCTCAGGAAGGCCCCCGCGGGCCCGTTCTGTCTGCCTCAGCCAGCCTGCCTGCCCCAGCAGCCACGAACGCTCAGCGCTGCGCACGCCACTCTCCACATGCTGCCCGCACGCAGCTCCGCACGGCTGCATTACACGCAGCCAGCAGAAGATCTAGCGCGAGCGCACTAGCTGGAACTAGCCGCCAGCAGCAGCCACCAGCCGCCCACAACTCTTCCCAGCTGCCCACAGCTCATCCCAGCCGGCCACAGCCTCTTTCTGCCGCCCACAGCCTCTCCCAGCCGCCCACAGCCCCTCCTAGCCGCCCACCACCGCCTAATTCCGCCCATTTTTGGCCTATTGCCGCCCATAGCCGCCCACAGTACCACCAGTGCCCACTGTCTCGTGCACGCCTCCTGCCTTTGGCATCCCTAACAGCGGCGAGCAGCCGCAGTCACTTTTCCTGGCATAGTTTCGGTTTTGTGCCCCGACTGGCGTTCCTAGCCCGCCTTGCGTAGCCGACTGTTCCTAGGCTGGTGTCTCTTCGTCGGTAGTTCCTAGTATCGCTCTAGCTGTTCCTAGCTCCAGCCGTGCCTTGCTCCAGCCGCTCCTACCTCCAGCCACTCCTAGCTCCAGCCGTGCCTAGCTCCAGCCGTGCCTTGCTCCAGCCGTGCCTTTCTCCAGCCGTGCCTTGCTCCAGCCGTGCCTTGCTCCAGCTGTGCCTTGATCCAGCCGTGCCTTGCTCCAGCCGTGCCTTGCTCCAGCCGTGCCTTGCTCCAGACGTGCCTAGCTCCAGCCGCTCCCCGCTCCAGCTGCTCCTAGCGCCAGTAGTTCCTAGCCTGGCGTTTCCTCGTTCTGGCAGTGTCTAGCTCTAGCTTCTCCTAGCGTGCCGCTCCTACGCCCATATAGCCTTTACCATGGCGCCCGTTAGGGTTCTGCAGCAGCAGGGACAGCAGCAGCGGCAGTTTCAGCAGTGGGAACCTCAGCAGCCGTGGCGCCCTCAGCAGCAGTGGCGCCCTCAGCAGCAGTGGGGGCCTGGTGGTTTGGATAGCGTTGGCTGCAGTAGCGGCCCAGCCAGCTGGGGGGCTCGTCGCGATGGCCGCGACGTCGGCCCCTGCCATTACCGGATCCTGACTGGCCATGTTGCTGGCACTACCTGCTGGCGTCCTGACCACTCTGCACAGCGCTGCTACAGTCGCCTCGACGACCTCTACCGTGAGCGTTTTGGGCCTGACTCGAGGCCCCCGATTTGGCCCGGTCTGTCTCGTAGTGGTTACCATGTGTTTGGTATGTCTATGGATGCTGCTTATTCTGTCACGTATGGATCTTTTGGTTTGCGTGCACCTAGCTTAGGACCTTTGCCTGTTGCTAGTGTATGTACTTGTGCTTTGAATGTAGGTGCTTGTGTAGTCACTAGTCCAGCCGTGACGACTACTATTGCGTCCAGGGCTGACGTTTCAAAAAACGGCACTCTGATTTTGACCCCCCTAATTATTTTTTACTCTGACGGGACTTCGGCCGCAAACTAGCTAGTCTGAGCCTGTTAAATATTTTTAGTGTTGAAAAAATAGCAACCCTAGGCTCTCAGGGTTGGGAAACTCAAATCAGAGTTGCGTTTTTGTTTCTTTCCTCTTCTTCCTTTCTTGTTTTAGCGAGAGGAGATAGTTCGGTAGGCCGCAAGTGGAGAGTGGGAATGTTGCAAGGGGGCAAGAGGAAATGGGCAGCACGTCGCTGTCAGCTGCAAATGGCTGGTGGTGCAACACTGTACTGTACAGTCGCAGAACAACTTGGCGAATATGGCGGTGGCACGCGTGGCGTGGAGCGAGCTGCTGGGACAGAGGCTGCACAATGTGGGCCGCGTTTGACTTTTGCAAGTGGCTAGCAAACGCAAGTGGCGCGAGAAAAACAGTTGCTCGCGCCACTGTTTTCGACCAAGCATATGCAAGCACAACACTTGGCGCATGTGAGTGAAGTTGACGGTGACGCGTGTGGTGTGGAGCGAGCTGAAAATTTGATGTTGTGCTGTATGTGCGTGCGCCGCTGACAGCAGGAAACATGGTGTACAAATATCTTCGCTGGCTGCCCCTGTAGGCACAAAACCAACCAAATTATCGCGAGAAATTATATTTTAGCCGTGGGTTTTGTTTCATGCACTGATTTGTATGAACTTTCAGCCTCAGCGATAATTCTGGCTCAGTCAAACTTCACGAATCAACGAATAAGATAAAGCTTTGTCAAACTTATATGTGCTGCTTATTGTTTAGGCTGTAGTGGGGTAGCCCATAAGAGGTACAACCCAATTAGGGTTTCCTACTTGTACCCATCCTGCTGCTAGTTCACACATTCCTGTTCATTATTTCTGACATGGTTTCAGAGCAGGTCCTAGCCTAGGACCGATTTTTTTTAGGGCCCACCGAATTGCGCTACCCCACGAGTCGCGCCGCCCTGTTAGCGTCGCGCCGCCCTGCCCTGCCCTGCGTCGCGCTGTCGCGCACGCCCTGCCCTGCCCTGCCCGCGCGCTGCTTGCTTCTGCGCGCACTGCCCTGCCCGCGCGTCGCTCGCTGTCGAGCAACGCGCCCTGCCTGCCGCGCGCCCTGCCCGTCGCGCGCCCTGCCCGCGCGCCCTGCCCGCCGCGCGCCCTGCCCGCCGCGCGCCCTGCTCGCGCGCGCTATCTGCCGAGCGCCCTGCCCGCCGCGAGCCCTGCCCGCCGAGCGCCCTGCCCGCCGCGCGCCCTGCCCGCCGCGCGCCCTACTCGCCACGCGCCCTGCCCGCCGTGTGCCCTGCCCGCGCGCGCTGCCAGCCGCACGCCCTGCTTGCCGCGCGCCCTGCCCGCCGAGAGCCCTGCCCGCGCGCGCTGCCTGCAACGCGCCCTGCCCTGCCCGCGCGCCGCGCCGCCGTGCGCCCTGCCCTGCCCGCGCGCCGCGCCGCCGCACGCCCTGCCCTGCCTGCGCGCCGCGCCGCAACGCGCCCTGCCCTGCCCGCGTGCCGCGCCGCCGCGCGCCCTGCCCTGCCCGCGCGCCGCGCCGCCGCGCGCCCTGCCCTGCCCGCACGCCGCGCCGCCGCGCCGTCCTGCCTTGCCCGCGCGCCTAGCCGTCGAGCGCCCTGCCCTGCCACGCGCCCTGCCCTGCCGCACGCCGCTTGCTGCAGCGCTGCCCTGCCTTGCCTTGCCTGCGTGCTGCTCTGCTGCTAGCGCGCCCGTCCGCTCTGCCCGCTATGGCCTCGCTCAATGTCCTCACGTTCGATCCGGAGGGCCGCCCGATAGAGTTCGATGCGTGGCTCGACGACTTACAGCTGTTCTTACTGAGCGATTCCAAGGACGGTGTTTCCCTGTTTGACCTCACGTCTGGCGCCTCTCTCGCGCCTGCCGCCACAGCTGACAGTACGACTCGTTCATAGTGGCTTATTCGTGACGCTGCTGCTCGTCTAGCCGTTCGCAACCACCTGCCGTTAGCCGGACAACATAAGACAATGAAAGCACCGTACGACACTGTAGTCGCTCGTTACTCCTCCCCGGCCACTGCTGCTCTAGGCCGCCTTCTCCTGCCCTACCTGTTCCCAGAGCTGTCCGACTTTGCCACAGAAGCCGACCTAGTCACTCACCTTCGCACTAGTGACACTCGCTACCGCGCTGCGCTTCCCGCCGAGTTTCTCACCAAGAACCCTCCTCCTATGTACATCACTCTCTACTTCATAGTCACCCGCCTCCCTAACTCTCTCACTGCAGTCAGGGACCTCCTTCTAGCCCTCGACCCCACCGACCTCACTGTCGACCTGCTCGAGAAGCACCTCCTAGCAGCTGAGTCTAGCATAGTTGCTGTAGGCGCTTCTCGTGGCACTCCCCGCACTCCCTTCTTTGAGGGGTGTTCGCCTTCCCCTCTTCTCCCCTCAGTCGCCTCTGCTGCAGCTGTTGACTACCTTCGTGCTGAGGAGGTAGGAGC